TTGTAGAAGTAGAAGGAGTAGAAGGTGGTTGTGGTGATGGTAAATTCTGTTCTAATGGCTGAGGTACCGAAGCATCGTGTGTATATTGGTCCATTTCGGTTTTAAATAATAGGTTGTCTATCTGATTTTTAAGTAAACACACAGAYATTGTGTTTTTAATTTTCCTTAATCTAAATTCAACTGATTCCCCATGCACTTTAAACTCATCCCTTTGTTGGTCCTCTTGTATTTTTGAATAACAAGATTTCATAATTGCATATGCTTCTTTCGTTTGATCATCATCTTCATTATTTATTTTTGGCATTTTTGGGCGTTTGGGCGATAAAAAAAGTTTCTTTTTTTTTATCTAAATTTGCTACACTTTGCTCAACATTTTTAGAATGATTTTCAATTTCAACAGAATTAAGTTCACTGATAGTATCCTCATTGCCCGATTCTGATTTAAGTAAATCAGAATCCAATAAATTACTTTCAYCATCTTCACTGGTATTAGATCGCGTAATTCTTGGTGTATTTTTATTAGATAAAAAGTAGAAATATTTATATGCATACCAAGGTGTTTTTATATCATCGGCCTAGACATACCAGGTTTTAAAATCAAAGCCTTTTTTTCTCTGCGATACTGAGTTAGAAGAGATTCAATTTTTTTTCTTACCTTTTGTTCCTCAGCGTTAAGTTTGTTAGCAATATCAATAAATGCATCAGTACGTCTTATCTTATTTTTATAATCGGGAGATTTTGTGTTCCATAAGCAACTGGCATTCTCATATAATTGAATTAAATCGATTATTTTCTCTTTAGACCACTTTTCATTCATTTTGTGACTCGGAAGTCGGTATATTAACACTGAATAAAAAAATAGAAAGAATAAAAGAYACCACTATCCATGTGTGGTGTACTGGGTCACGTGCAAACTGAATACTGGTTTTCTTGATAATTAAATTAATTAAAATTAATATTAGTTCAATAAACAATACTACATATATGTATATAACAGAATATTTATATATAAACGCGCGATATTACCGCATTATCTCGYTATAGTCTGGAATATCACAAAATAATAATTTAAAAATAGTATATTGTTTAAATAGTCTRTCACGTATTGACACATCRCCTCACGTWTGTATCCGTTCAGAATTTAAAATTATTAAATTACATTAATAAACATTTAATTAAATAATTAAATAATATAAATTATTATTATTATTATTTAAATTAATATTATATTATTTATATAATTTACAAACATACATTCAAAATGTTCGCTTAGTGAGCGAACATTTTTGTTTGGGTTATTGACAAACAAATTTTTTTGGAAACACGTCTACCTCAAACAAACGTTCGAAAAACATTCGTCAAACGTTTGCTAGATATTTTTGGTGTTCGGCGAACGTTCGACAAACGTTTTTCTAATTGTTTGTTAGGTGTGGACGCAGCTTATGAATTAATTTCAAATTAAATATGTATAAATTTGTCTAATATGTATTTAGATCAACAAAAACAACATTCCTCTATTTTTTATGTAATTTTCAGCTAAACAAATTTATAAAACTATACTAATTTTAAAATATCACGCACAACTTTTAAATGAAACCATCTGTGCTTTAAAAATAACCAACTGCTCTTTCAAATTCAGAGATTTCTCCCTTGGTAAACAAAAATTGGACTTTTGGGTGTACTAGTCAAAGTTTTCCTTCTTATCATGTAAATCGACCAAGTTTATTCACCATGAAAAGCATTCCACATTAATTCGTATTAGAAAATAAAAAACCACACTACTGAAAACTGATTAATTAAATATTATATTGTAATTACCACACGTTTTCGCATCTATAAGACAAATAAATATTTTTAACCTACTTAAATATATATTTATTTTTTAAGTCTATTTAATAAGTATTAATAATCGTAGTTATTGTAATCCACCGTTACACGGATTAGTTATGTTAGGATTTTATAGTTTTAAGTATTTGATTGATAAATAAGGTCTAAAACAGTGCAAAGAGCTTAACTATTACAAGCTTTTTTTTTCATAAAACTTTGACAGTTTAATTATAGGATATTATTCCATATTGCATTCCTTGACTTTACGGAAAAAGATCGCTAAAATAATTAAAATACTCTCTTACTTAATAACTTTTTCTTTTATAAAAAAAAAAATAAAAAATACTTCAATGATAACGATTATAAAGT